AAAAAATAAAGAATATTCAACTATGTTTGGTGAATGTAAAAAAAATGCAATTTTGTATCAACTTTGCCATTGTTGACAATAGATTGAGCAATAAATGATCACGCACTGTTGAGTATGAATTCCACATTAGGTCAGAACTAGGAAAGTTCAACTAAATTTGCTGATGGTGGAAGATGCAAATTTGTATTAGCTTTCCCTAAAGATTATTAAACTATACAGCATACAAAAATGGTAACACTTTCCTTTTTAATTACGATTCACCGCCGAAGTTGGAACGTCAACGTATCCCTCCAGCATCATCACCACAACCTCCATTATTGGCCGCTCGTTGGGATCCTCCTGAACGCACAACAAACCCACTTTCACAAGTTTCTCAACCTGAAATGCTTCTACTTGCTCTCCTTCAACCAGCTTCCACAACTCACCCTCCTCGCAGCTCTTCCGCACCAACTCACAAAGCGACGGCTTGACCTCCCTGTTCCTCCTGCTGCAAATCGTCTCCAAAACCACAATTCCATAGCTATAAACGTCTACCTTCTCCGTCACCAGAGCTTCCTCTGTCCCATCAACCTCCCGCTCACACTCCGGCGCCACGTACCCCTCTGTCCCTGCAGCCAATGTCCGCGTCGCCACCCTGCTTTGGTTCCTATCAAGCAGCTTTGCCAGGCCGAAATCTGCAATCTTGGCTCTCCAGTCCTCGGAGATGAGAATGTTCTCTGGTTTTATATCTCGGTGAATGATCTTCGTTTCACAATCGCAATGCAGATATTGTATCCCACGGGCAGCATCGAGCAGGATCGCCACCCGCCGCTCCCAGCACAATCTCTGATTCCTGCTCACGAAGATGTGTTTCGAAAGCGGACCCCTTGACATCAATTCATAGACTATGAGCTGGTTGGGGCCGTCATGGCAGAATCCGAGCAGGCGAACGAGGTTTGCATGGTGAGCTCTCCCAATGAGCCTCATTTCTGCTTGGAACTCTCTTTCTCCTTCCATCTCCGCCCCGTGGAGCTTCTTCACCGCTACAACGATAGTCTGGTCGCCGATCTGCAAGTCAGCTCTGTGTACCGTTCCGTGTGCCCCTCTTCCCAGTTGCCGCTCCGGTTCATTCGACCCTCTGAGGAGCTCTTGGTACGAAAAGTATCGGGGAGCTATCTCCTCTGTTAATGCAAGCTCCCATTTGCGCCATTCTTCTCGATACCTCCCGAACAGAAACCAGTAAGCCGTCATGAACGCCGCTATTGCAGTTATACAAGCAGAGATGGCCACAGCCGCGGAGATAAAAATAGCTGCGTAGCAAATCTCTCGTTTTCTATTCTGCCCCGCCGGAGCTACTTCGTCTCCTCCGGCGCCGGCCAACTTCATTAACGCTATGCTATGAAAGTTGACATCTTTCCTTCCGCTTGTCAGCGGAAGCTTAAGCTTCAAACACTTCTGATCAATGTAGGACGCTGCGTCGCAGCTGCAGTCGCTGAGGCAAACATTGCTACACTTTTCCTGGCTCTCCGTGTCGACTATACTGTAAGCAAAATCCTCCATTCCCACTATGTTATCCACCGCCTCCATTGAAACAATGGCGGCCGCGTGGCAGCAGCTTGGAACCGTTCTGTTTCTCCGGCATCCAGCGAATTGTGAGTTCGGATTTATGTACTCGAATCCAGGCATACAGCTGCACTGCGCATTACTGTTGGCGAGGAAGCAGTAGCTGTTGACGCCGCAGATATCCTTGGCCTGACACTTGTCCTTATAAAAAGGAATCTCGTTAACCACCTTGGTCAAATTGTCATGGAGGCTAAGAGCGTAGAGCCGGAAAATGCTATCTGAGTCGAGCGTTGCTCGGTAAAGCATGTCATTTGCGATGGTATTGGGTTTATAACCAGAAAGATCCTTCTCATTGCCGCCGGAAGTGTCTATGTAGAGGCGGCCATATCTATCCAGGTTGAGAGAAAGGCAACCATCGCCTGATATTCTGGTGTCCCAAGTCTTCTCGGCGGAGTTCCGTCTGTAAGAAATCAGATTAGCGCCGCCGCAGGGCAAGTTTAGGATGTGGATTCCAATCGAGTGATCAGTCTTGCCGGCGGAGGAGGTGAGGTTATTGCCGCAGTGCAAGCTCTGGCTTCCAAGTATCGTGTCGGTGGGGAAATCAAAGCTGCGCCAGATCATGTTGTCTGAAGATGATCTGCACGTCGAATATGCACTGCAGGGCCTGTTTGGCGAGAGATAGGGCTTCGCAGCATCTCTAACCCCAGTCCTGCTGCAACTCGAATAAGCTTGGCAAGACTTACTATCAGAGGTGCTGGAGTTGGAGTTGAAGACGACGAGATTGCCATTGTCGAGCATGGCGGCAGAGGTGGCCGTTGAGGAGAAGTTGAACAGAGGAAAGGACTCTGCTTTTTGATCCGGTGTGACGAACAGACCCTTGTCGGTGAAGTTCAAAAAGGCATCTTTTGCAAAGCGCTTCAGCTCCGGCCTCGCTGTCCAAACAACAAGGGTTTCAGAAGGGGAAGCGAAGAGGCGTATGCCGATGGAGAAGCCATCGTCTTCATGATAGAATCCGAAGGCGAAGCGGCCGGAGGAGGAGAACCATGAGGAGGTATCGTCGGTGGTGAGTGAAGTGCCCACAGTGACGTGCCTGCCGGTGATGTCCCCAGGGCCGATGGGACGGTAATTGGCATATGGGACCCCTGCTTTCCCTTGAGCTTCCACCGCATCAAGTATGACTGATATACAGATGGTGAAGAAGAAGAAGAAGAAGTAGATCTCGGGTGAGTTCTGCATATGGTGGTGGATGGACTAGAGAGGGAAAAATCTGTTCTTTTTTGGGAGGTAATGGAAAAGGTGGCGGAAGAGCAGTTGTTCTTCTTTTGGGAAATGCTGATAGAGAAGAATCAAGATAAGGAGGACTGCCTTCTCTTCATAGATGAGGCCTGATTTTTTTATTGTGGTATTTACATAAATGCCACGTAAAGAAACACTTATTTTAATTTTTATATTTCTAACACTTAAAATCTTCATATTATATCAATAATATCTCTATTATTAACTTTATAAAAAATTAATAATTTTTTATGCATATTAAAGTATAAAAATTATTTTCAATTATTTATAGTCGAGATTATTTTGACAGCTCTATAAACTCTATGATGAAAACAATTCCATGCAAGTAATTAGGGATTATTTTGAGATTTTATTCAAAAAAAAAATGTATATATATTACTATAAATATCAACTTTTAGATATTAGACATTTAAATGTATAGAAGCTGTTTGGCATGTATGTGTAAATCTTCCTATTATTTATTTGTATTTCATTTATTTAAAATTTAATGTATTTATATTTAGCTTGTATTTAATATTACTCTCAAACAATATATATTTATTTTCAACCCTTTCGAGTCCAAATTAAATGCGAACACAGAGATCCAATTTGCAATAAATAAAAATAAACTAATGATAATTAATTAATTAATACTAAAAATATTTAATTAAAGGTATTTATTTATTTAGATATGAACAAAAAAATTATTCATATTTAACTCATTTAAAAATTAAAAATTTTTTAATTACATTGATTTATTCAATAATAAGTTTGCTCCGAGGCCGAGAACATGCATAATATTTTGAATTTAAAAAGTTATTTTTTATTAAATATGAATTAAATGAACTAATATTCTAATTTACTAAGATTTAATTTAAGAATATAAAAAATTTATATTACTCCCTTACATGAGGTGATCAGGGCAATGGGGAGAGGCTTGGAGCTGAAGGTCAGAAAATATTGCCTCCAAAGGTCCAATTATGAGAGGCAATGTGGGCCCAAATTTGTATGTATGATGATGTAGCCTTCCATGATTGGAGATCCAAATTTATGAACTTTCTTGCGTAATATTTGCGCACGCGGGCGCTGCATATGTCAAATGTTATTCAGGGGGTAATGGGGGTTATATTCGGGTTATACCCTCCTGTAACATCCGTGTAACTCTCTTGTAACCTCCGTGTAACTTA